TTTGAAGCAAAAACTTTGAAAATCAGTATAAGGTGCAAGGCTGTGTACTTAACAGTTTTAAAGGGTTAGTTCACCCAAAAATGAAAATTCTGTCATTAATTACTCACCCTCATGTCGTTTCAAACCCGTAAGACCTTCGTTCATCTTCGGAACACAAATTAAGATATTTTTGATGGAATCTGAGAGCTGTCTGACCCTGCATAGACAGGCATAGGCAACTGAAATGTTCCCAAGTCCAGAAACGTAGCAAGGAGATCTGTAAAATAATCCATGTGACATCAGGGGTTCAACCGCAATTCTATGAAGCTATGAGAATACTTTTTGAACGTAAAAGAAAAAAAAAAAGAGTGACGCGGAGGAGACGAATTGTTGAATAAAGTTGTTGTTTTTTTTTCTTTTGCGCACAAAAAGTATTCTCTTAGCTTCGTATAATTTTACGGATGAACTACTGATGTCACATGGATTATTTTACAGATCTCCTTGCTACGCCTCTGGACTTGGGAACATTTCAGATGCATTGCTGTCTAATACGGCGGTGTCAGTCAGCGGCCATGGGCGGTAATATTATAATAAGAACCCCTTCCTACGTCAGAAGGGGAGAGAAATCTGATCGGCTCATTTTCTCACATGCTTGCAGAGAAAGGCTTACAAAACCAAACTTACTGGGTTCTTCTTTTTCACGTTTTCTGAGTTGGTAGATGCACCGGACACTCAATTATAGCACGGAAAAGGTCAGATTTTTCATCCGATGAGCCCTTTAAATGTTTATAAGTTGTAGTTTAAAATCAATTTCCCTATGGAGAAAATGTAAGGAATTTTTACTTCCAGAATGTGGCTGTTGCTATCTATAAGTATATCCCTCCCACTAATACTAAACGCCTCTGACTAGAAATAGCAAATCACAGGTTCAAGAATGTGACGTGTACTAAAGTCGAATGCGATGTAAACTAATGTCGCTCCCAACTTCCGATTTCAATAGAAAATCTGTCAACACAGGACTAAAAACTGCACCCATCAAGAAATTCATGGGGTCTTTTATAACCGAACATCCAAGGCGCCCATCAGAAGTGTAGATGTTTTTGAATTCTTACTGCGTATATTAGTAGTATATTGTGTTTTTCCGCTTGACTTGCACGTCGCAACGACACTACTTATAATGACGTTTCTGGCATGTTTTCTGCAAAAAACGTCTGACGTGTTTCCGTTTTATGTGGCATGAGGGCGTGAAAAAGCTACGCTAAATCCGATCTGACCGGATCCAAGCTAATATTCTCATGTCACTGCCAAATTCAGGCCAATTGAAGCAGCACTTACAGAAAATGTGACCAATTTGAGAAAGCCTGGGAGGCCACTATAAATGAACATTTTAAGCGTCAGCAGTCATGCCAGAGTGCTCTGCTGTCACACACACACATTTTCTCCGACTAGACAACTATATTGTCAAATCTGAGTTGCTGTAGTTTAGAGTTTGTGTACCATTAAGGTATGCCTGAAGAATCTGTAGTGGAACACTGTTGGAAGTTTCCAGGTCATTCTTACGCAAGATGCAGGAGAAGTTGAAGCCATCAATGACGAGTCTACTGTTTTATAATCATACGCCATTTCCACCTCTAATTTATTCCTAACACTCCTCGTTGATGCACCCTGATCAAGTCCATCATTAAATCACCAATTAGGTACGTGAGGTCAAGCTATGCTGTGAAAATAGCAACAGCTAAATGACTTTGTTGGCATAATGTGTAGCAGAGTGACTATATTCACAAAACAGTACAGCCCGGAGTGTTTTCTTGCTTTATAAAATGGTTACTACATACATAACTCAAATATTAAAGACACAAATATCCAATAGAACATTTTATTAAACAAATTCAGGATTCCAATAGATAATATAGGTCTAGTCCCTGATATGTAAATGACATAGGAAGGTGAGCACGGCAGGGTTGCACTATTCATAAAGCCTTACTTTAATTGAAATGTAGGCTCACTAGGGGATTAAAAACTACTACTGTACAACTTAAGTTTGTAAGCAGCTCGCAACTTCAGTTGAAGTTACTATTCAACAAAGAAATTATAAACTTTTGAAGATTTTTCTTGTAACTAGCATAAATTATATATTTAAACGTAAATAATAAACATTCAGTTTTTTTTGGGGGGGGGGGCAAAACATTTGCTTGCACCTTTTATCCTTAACACAAACTTTTTCTAAATTTAGTGTTTTATTTAGCATTTGTGTATATATTTGTGTATAGAATTTAAATACATTACCTTTTTTTTTTATTTTTTTTTTTTACTTTAATTCAGCAAGGATGCACTGAATTGATCAAAAGTGACACTATTCAAAATTAAAGACATTTATAATGTAGTATACCTATTTAAAGTAATTTTGTAACTTTCTGAATCCTGAAATAAAATGTATCACGGTTTAAAAAATTAAGCGGCACAACTGTTTTCAACCATGTTAATGATATTTCTTGAGCACCAAATTATATCATATCAGAGTAATTTCTGAAGGTTCAAGTGACACAACACAGGAATAAATTACAATTTTTAATGTACTGAAATAGAAAAGTTATTTTACATTTTAATAGTGTTCAACAGTATTACTGTGTTGTTACTGTATTTTTTTGATCAAATAAATGCAACCTTGGTGGGCATTCTTCTTTTTTTTTAAACATTCAAATATCCTACCATCCTTAAACAAGGTAGTGTCAATTATAAATATTAAGGAAAAGGAACCATGCGTAAAATGAATCAGAGGCAGTAAATAAACAAAATTCTATTTTGGAAATAAGTACACACCAATAGTTAATAAAAAAAAATGAGTTTGGTGAATTTCTGTCACTAATTACATTTTGCGTTGAGCCAGAGTGGCAGAACAACGCACACTTGGAGGCCTGGGGAAAGTGTGCCGCTTAAATGGGCTTCATTCTGAAGATAAGCCATTAACAACTCAAGTTATTCTCATAATGCCCTTTCTCTAAAAATGCAAATGAGCATAAATGTCAACATCGTCTTCATGTATGTCTAAAGAATTGAAATCTGTCACACATAACACAAACTCATTGACGTAATTCAACCAGTCTGCAATTTTATTCCAACAATTATTCTTCAGCGAAGGCATCTCTTAATGTTTATTTATATGGGGGGTTCCATTTTTAAAAATTTCTGGTGCAACATACTTATAATTATTATTATAATATTATAATATGGTGTCATTTAACACAAATAGAAGGGGGTTATAACAATTTCATTAAAATTCCTTAAAAAATAATCTAACGATTCCAATCAGTAGCAAAAAATACAATTCTTTCTAATAAAAAACTAAATGTGGCTGCATTGCTTGAGTTTATGTGGTGAGGACACTGTGCTTTTTTTCTCTGAATTAATTGTAGGCAAACAGGCTAATATATTTTAACGTTATTAACAGACTTCATAAATCATTAATCTGCTAAGGTTGATCCAAGATGCTCTCAAGGCATCGTACAAAATTTGTCAAGAATGAATGGAAGATGTGAGGGCTATCAGGTGTCTTGGCATCTCTTCCAGTCATGTTGCCTGGGCAGGCCCTGGGCAATCCAGCACAAATGTTCTTCATGTGCCACTATGAAAGCATGGCTAATCTGCACGTGTGAAGGTCAGGACTGCTCGTCCATACAGAGAAGGGCCAGAGCCAAAAAGCATCTGATCACATAGATGCAGAACTGGAGAACTGAAAGCTGGTTTTTGTCTACTTAGAACACAAAACAGACAATACACATAACTGAGCACATACTGGTTATAAACAACTAACTAAAAAAATTGTCAAATTATGTTACGCCAAATTGTTACATTATCAGCGTTTATTGGTTAACAAAGACAAAACCTACAGCATTTAGCTGGCTGAATATTAATATATGCTAAACTATTCCAATAGATTCATCAGCTTTCCCCCCTGGACCTGCACAAAAACATATTAAGCAGCAAAGTCAATTTATCACTAAAATCAAACTTGAAAAACTGTAACTCGGCCAGCAGGACTGTAAAATCCAAGGTTGTATCTTAAAACCAAGTAGGCTGCCTACCTAGACAGCATTTTTCAACATTATAGTCTCAAAACTGTCAGCCAAGATAGGATTTATTTCTGGTATTATATTCTTAAAACCCAGTGGGCTTCCAACCTAGAAAGCAATTTTGGGTATTACAGTCTCAAAACCTAAAGCACAGCCTACCTAGACAGCATTTTGGGTAACAGAGTGGCACAACCTAGTAGTGTGTCACCTACCTAGTCAAATATTTGGTCATTACAGTCTCAATTTCTCAAAACCTAGTGAGCGTCCTAGGTTTTGGGATCCAGCTTTCGTCACCATCTCACCCTATAATTTCTTTATATTTGAATATGTTGTGTTTAATACAACCAGTACGGATAATATTTTAAATAGTGAATGTGAAAACTAATCACTGCATAATGAGATGGGCGCAATGGCGCTAACAATGCTAATCAGTAGCGCTGGGTACTGAAAACACAGTCAAACATTGAAAACGAAAACGAAATTTTATTTGGGAAGTAAAATCGCTTTGTTTCAATTGATCTCGGGGACAAAACGCACAAGCAGCGAATTTGAACTAGCAGCAGCGCAATGCTAGAATGTTCCATCATTTGATTGGCACCGAACGAGCGCTTTATCGAAACCATGGCTGATAATTTATTCAATAACATGACAATGGCTTCTTGGTGATAATGCTGTATTATTATACGGGCTATACGAATACAAGCAGCCCAACACATCCGCTCGCCGTATCGGGCATCTCTTAAAGCAGAAATGAAAGTCTCAGCGCAGGCTAACTCATGCTAACACCGTTAGCACAGTCACCTTGGGCAGAATTTAACATGTTCTGCTGCCTGTCAATCCACACACAAGCCCAAACCCCGGAATAATCATAACTATAACAGGAGAAAACAAACTCAGCACGCTATTTGCCCATTCATATAGATCATTTGCATTCAATATATATATAAAAACTAGACGCTGTAAACTAGTATTACGAGTAGCATCAGGCCACGGCTAGACCTGCATGCGAAACTTGACACACACACACACACACACACGCTTAAACGTTCACCTGAGCTCTGCTGTTCCCGTTATTCCCAGGGCTCAAGGCCGGGTGGTTTCTTTGTTGTGCTCCCCAGCCGTGGCTGGCAGCGGGGCTGTACGGGGAGCTCAAGTCTTTGCCCAGACCCATTCCGGACTGCTGCTGCGGCGGGGTGCTGTAGTCTTGATAACCGCTGCCATATCCGCGCATCATCGGACTCGGAGATGTCAGAAGCTGGTTTAGGGTGGGTGTAGCTCCAGAAGGGTGCAGTTGGTTTTGTCCGGGAAACCTCTGAAAGCCCCCAACATTGGCACCGGGAGCTGGGGTAGTAGAGGCCATAGCAGCCTTGCCATGACTAGCAGCAGCGGCGGTAGGCGAATTGTTACCTGGGCCCATCATGTTCCCCTGCCGCGACGGGCTCATCATACCGTATCCAGCGCCACCGTACCCCGGCCTGATGTTGTTGTGGTGGACGGCTCGCTGCTGATGGAATGATGCTTGCGACTGTTGCTGTGGAGGTGTGCGATGATGAGGCGAAGGAGGGGGATCTCCGCTTCCAACATTTCTCACTTGATGATTCGCGACCAGACCCGTTTCCATACTCGAAATCGCGGTTAAATGAGCAGAAAAGACTGTGGGTTGATTCTCAGCGTCCGTGTTTTCGCAGAGACTATAGACGCATGCTGATGCCCATCTACGTTATTCATTGAGGCAGCGCTGTACCCATGCACAGCCCCGCATCACACCGATTCCTCCTCATTCTCACCATTAGATTTTGGATGGAGCCCTTGCCACCGCTGTGCTGTCAAGGGATGTCTGTGTGCTGCATGAGCACGAGCTGTGAAAACAATTACTGAGGCGTTGAAACTGAGAAAAAAACAAATCTGCTAAAATACGCGTTTAACTTGTGATGTTTCGGGGGGAGCATATAGGCGTTCATATATTTTCACATATTCGAAAGTTTATTTTTAATACCAAACTTCCGAGCAATGGCGCCATAAATGTGCATAAGACCCCTACCAGAGCCCCTTTGCTCCAGGCAGCATGGCATTATCAAGCATCTCCTCCAGCTCTCCACTGCTCTGCTCTGCGCTGAGTCTGCTGGAAAAGCCGGACCGGATGTTTCGGGATTTCTGTATTTACATTTTTAATCGATCTCATTTTAAATGGTTATTGGATTAAACTATAGCTAGTGATCCTATACGTTCGTTACTCTGCAAAGACGGCGCGGAAGCTGCATCTGACGTGGCTTATTTTCCACAAAAAGGTGCATTTAGTTTTAATGCTGTAGAAAGGCGTCAAATGCATTAGAAATAATGTTAAGGAATTAATGTTGTGTAATTATGAATACAGAAACATTATGAATGCAAATATGAAAACGTATGCTCTTTCAAAAAAAAGGTACAAAAGTTGGGCCGTACCTTTTCTAACAGGTAACTTTTTCTACCTTATTAACCCTTAAGGGTGCATGTAAGTAATTTAAAGTTATAAAACGGATAGTTCCGGTCCTTGATTCTGATTGGCTGAGCCACGTTCGAAGCTGTTGTAAATGACTCTACAAAGTAACATACACCTTTGTTTACGTTTGTGTGTTGCTCGGCAACCACTTTGTTGCAACCACAACAGATTCTGAGGAACTACATTGTTTGGTGGAAGAATACTGTTTTTATTAATATCATTACACTTTATTTGCTCTGTTTTATAAGCCCCGTGAAGCTGTGGTTTACAGTGAATTTATAACAGCTAAGGGGGTTTTAGGCACTCCGCTTCGCGTCGGGCCTAACAACACCCCTTAGCTGTTATAAATTCACTGTAAACCACGGCTTCTAGGGACTTATTGCTTTAGTACATATTATAAATGGTACATATTTGTACCTTTTGAAAAGGTACTGCCCCAGTGACAGCTTCTGTACCTTTTTTTCTGAGACTGTGCTGTTGTAATAATTGCAATGTTTAAAGGGTTAGTTCACCCAAAAATGAATATTAGCCCATAAATTACTCACCCTCAAGTATATGTCTTTCTTCTTTCAGACGAATCCAGTCGTAGTTATATTCAAAATTGTCTTTGATCTTTCAAGCTGTTTCATGGCACTCAGCGGGTGTTGCATGCATCAGTCCAAAAGAAGTGAAATAAAAAGCGCCCATCCATTAAAAAAGTGTCTCACACGGCTCCGGTTCCTTACTTTAGCAAAGGAAAACCAGTCTCCTCTTGGCTTATATCGAAATCCTCCGACATTCTTCTTTACAAATCCTCATTTTGTACTTCTAATAAGTGACCGTTGTTTTGTTTTGATCTCTCCGCTGCGCTTCTGCGTTCGTCACTTCTGAGCGGCGCATGTGCAACGCTGAACTCATACGTCATTCCCCCGGAACTGCTTCCGTGTACAACAGTGAGCGCAAGCTAGATTAAAGTGATTATTACGTTTTGAATATGGATATTTTTCTTACAAAAACGCATCGATTCGCTACAGAAGGCCTTTGTTCACCAAAATGTCACTAATTTTCATTTTTGGGTGAACTAACACTTTAATGCTGCACAGAGTTTTAACAGCATGTTTGTATGCATTTATGCATTATAGCGACTGCCCTAAGGAATTGAACTCATTACTTTGGGGTTGCCACATTCTGGGCTATAGGAACATATATGCAGGAACTTCATTCTTGCCTTATGATCTAGAACAAATACGATAAGTTTCAGAGATAAAGTACACAATGACAATACTCAAAAAAAGTTGTAAATTAAAAAAAATGGACATTTATGACTTCATTTTATTCTTACACCATTATTATTCTTTCCCCCAATTGCTGATCCATATGCACAGTACTGTGAGATATTATAGGGTTACATGGTAAGGATACACCTTGCCTTCAAAAACACATCTTAGTAGAAATATGCTAAACAAACTTTGACTTTCGTTGCTGCCCTTCTACGTCTCAGTAAGGTAGCATTTTTCTGACACAGTCATCAACATTAAATCAACAATCGGCTACCCTACTCTCTAAATATCAGCAATTCCATGCCGGATTTTCTCCAGCGCAGTGGAATTGGTCTCAATCCATTTCTCTGCAGCCCAACACATCACACAGATATGAACTGAATCACAGGATATATAATTCCGTGCTCTAGACAAATCACAGAAAAAATATTATATTGTGCTTTCACTATATTGTGCAGTTGTTAATTACGTTTTAAATGGCACCAGCATCTAATTTCATGCATTAACCAATTCTGTTACTTGCAGGATTTGTACCTCACCATCGACAATACATACAGGAGGCTTGCAACGAATTGTTGGAATATTGCTTAAACTGCTGCATGTCTAAAATGACACCTTCTAATGGGGTGATATGTGTATGGTGGAGAGGTAGGCCTGCTCTGGGGATGGCTCGGCCTGTTCAGCATGAGCAGGATGTGAAAGGACCTCCCCCAGCAGCAGTGGCAGCAGCTCAAGCACAGAAACTGGGTCAGACAAAAAACAAAAAAGCAGTCAGGCTTAGCTCCAGAGAGATGTTGTGATACAGCAAGCGTTTTCTCCACAATAGAAAAGCAACACATTCTAATACAAAGCAGTAAACGACAGAAAGTCTTACGCTTTCAAGGTCAAGACTGAATGAGACTGAATTATTCAGCACGGGGGCAGACAAAAAAAAAAAAACCCACTCAGGCAGTCAGGCTTAGCTCCAGAGTGATGCTGTGACACTGCAAGCATTTTCTCCACAATAGAAAAGCAACACCTTCTAATACAAAGGTAGAAAACGACAGAAAGTCTTAAGCTTTCAAGGTCAAGCAAATGATGGACTGAATTATTCAGAACGGACTGGAGACAGCCATGCCTTAGCAATTAGTTTTACTATTACTATTTATGATAAAATTGTGGCTTATGTATGCAAACAGACATGGCAAATCTTGTCATGGCAGCTTAAATTAAAAAGGTGGGTGTAAAAGACTTAAATTTCAGTTATATTATCAATTTGGCTGCACAAGTTTATAATATCCTTATCCCTATAGTAAAATTTGTATATGTATATAATGTTAATAATACGATGATTTTATATGGTATTATATGTAGCAACATGTACATGACATTTTCAAAAATGTATTACACATATATAAACATATATTTGTCTGGGCTAGATATACAGTATATGCTAGTATATAAAACTGTTCCCATTTCTAATAGCTATCATGTATGTTTTTACTTAAAATGACAATATATTTCATAAATGGAAATGTATATTGCATTTGTGTATGGGCTGAACTGACTTGAGCTGATTAATGGCACTAATGTCTTTTTAGAGCTGCTTCACAGCTACAATTCTATTCTGAATAATAATAATACTGTTATTTTCTTGTTTATTACTGTAAAGCTGCTTCGAAACAATCTGTATTGACTTGACCTTTAAAATGGCATATTTTAGTGTAGCAATAGTATTTTATTTAGTGCAATGGTCCTCTGTAATTCAAGTCTTTTAAAGCACTGTGATAGCTTTTTGCAAGGAACAGATATAATTCTTCCAAAACATTAACCTCCACAGTATCTCTAAAGTATGGTTGGGGTGATTCAATAACATTTGGTCACAGGATAAACAAAAACCAATGGCGTTTGATGCCACCGACGCCTCAAACTTAATGCGACTACAATTGCAAAAATTGTTTCTTATGACATATGACATATATCTGACATAAAGTCACTCCCCCCGTATCTCTTGCTCCAAATTAAAGCACTTCTCCGTGAAAACATTATAGTGACGAAATTGCCCATCTCTGTGCTGCTAATCACTTATTATATTTATTTTAATCAATTATGTAGACTATATGACTATTATATCATTAATGCATTACACTATGCATTACACACATTGTCTTTTAAGCTCTTTGTGAGCCTATTTAAACTAATTCAATAAATACAGTTGATTTATTTGCTGTATTATAAATATTTTAGTTCAGCTTCTCAAACTTTTTTCGTTCAGTCTTCTCAAACTTTCGTGGCAGCCGCTGTTTTTTTCTTGCCTTGGGAATGTGTTTCAGTTCATGATAGTTTTCAAAACAGTCACATTTTCAGCAGAGAAGTGAACTCTCTTGTGAGAAGTGAATTGAACTGACGCTGTTTCGTGTGATTGACTGTTCACTGCAGATGCCACACATTTGTTTTGTACTTTTACTTTTTTGTATTTTGTGTGTTTGTGTTCACTTTCTATATATTGGTATTTGCTTGTGATGAGCTTTGATTCTATGTGTGGCTTTCCCATTACCACCTGTGTTTCTGGTGGTTGTCAGTGTATTATAAAGGTAAAAAACAGATTTTATTACTTGATATAACAACATTATGTCAGTTTAGGAAATATAAGATTTATTTTTAAGGGTTAGTTCACCCAAAAATTAAAATTCAGTAATTATTTACTCACCCTCATGTCGTTTCAAACCCCTATGCGGAGGAGACGAATTGTTGAATAAAGTGTTTTTGTTTTGTTTTGTTTACCCGCACAAAAAGTATTCTCGTAGCTTTGTATAATTGCGGATGAACCACTGATGTCACATGGATTATGTTACCGATCTCCTTGCTACGTTTCTGGACTTGGGAACATTTCAGTTGAGTTGCTGTCTATGCAGGGTCAGACAGCTCTCAGATTCCATCAAAAATATCTTAATTTGTGTTCCGAAGATGAACGAAGGTCTTACGGGTTTGAAATGACATGAGGGTGAGTAATTAATGGCAGAATTTTCATTTTTGGGTGAACTAACCCTTTAAAGTTCAATCCGCAAAACCTGAAAAAACCTGGTACAATATTTTTTTATGGTAAACTTTTGGCAACCACAGCTGGCAATGTTTTACATTTTTTAAGGTTGGATTTGTTTGGCTACTCTGAAACTAGCTTTGTGTAACAGGATACTGGCTTCAGGAGACTTGGATTGTTGCTTTATAAATGCAGTTTGATAGCAATGTGAAAATATGCTTTCATGGGAGAAAGCAGAGTGAACATTCCTCCTTACTGTACATCTTTTGTGG